TGGCAATTTTATTTAGCTCCACATAATAAATTCTTATATAGGCATAAAATATTATGGAAATACACAAGGATCTGAAGAAAGGGATTAGAGAATGGATGTGAGCTAGGCAAGAGTTTTCAGTTGATCCTCTTCTACTCAATATTTTATCACATCCCTTTGTTACTCTTTTAAAAAGGGGGTGCGCCCCAAAAAGACTGAAAAAAATTGTTTTCTTGAAAAGCAAATTCAGTGGCTTCTAAGTAAAAATAAAGAGACCAAACAACTAAGAGGGCAGGGTAAAGAATAATTCATCAAACCAACACATTCACACTAAAACTCCACACACATATACAAACACACAAAGGATTTTTGAAATTCTCACAGAAACACAGCTGAGTTGCTTTTAAACCAACCTCTGGTCTCAGAGAAATTCAGAAAAACAAAAAAACAAAAACAAACAGAGGAGTCATTTAAAGTCTATCTGTTTCCTACTAAACTGGGGCCTGACAGAAGGGAATATCACATGAGGGATAAATAAATACCAAAAGGACAAGTTACACCAAGTTTTAAAATTCAATGATTTTCCTAAATAAATTTTTAAACATTCAAAAATAAGCTTTCCCTTTTTCCAGTTAAATTTCCGCTTACAGTTCATCATATCCCACGAAGGAATCTGAATTTTCCACGAGTCTCACAAGAATGAATTAAACGGTAAGTGGGTAAAGCCTAATCATATACTCATATATTGCACAAGCTGTTGTTCCTTTTTCTAATTCTCTTCTAAACTGAAAATTTCTGATTACTTCAACTATCACTCTAAAATGCCCTATAGTTACCAAATTGTACTTGAAATATACACTTCTAGAAGACCAGAATAAAGGGGACATCTCATCCAAGCCAGGTGCCCTGGGATACACTGCTCACATTTCTCAGTCTGAAGGAATCAAAGGAGAGAAAAGCGGGCCTGAGAGGGCAGGAAGCAGTGTAGTCCCCCACCCCCATCTCTCCCCTCACTCCAACCCCATGTCCCAAGTTTCCCAAGTACAACATCCACAGACCTTTGGAGGAGTTTTGATCGGCTCTTGGCTTCATCTATATACACCAAAAGGTGGTCTGATTACAAACTGTACAATTATTTTGGCATTAAAATCATCACCACCACCACCTTGAACATTTCTGAATGAAGAATCTGTTTCCCCACAAATACCTTTCCTCAAGATTCCCCCCTTTGTCACTGGCCTTAAAATATTTATATTTCTCTCCTTTCAAGATCATTTTTCACTTATTTACACCTTGTTTTACTTTTATCAAATAGTTCAAGTATACATAAAAGTACAGAGAACAGCATTAACAAAATGAACACCAATGTACCAACTACATACCAACTTTGCAAGAAATTAACATTTTGGCATATTTACTTCAGTCTTTTTGCAGAAGTTTATTACAGTTCACATCCACTGTGTACCACCCCTCCCACCTCCAATCTCTTTCCCCTCCTTCTCTCCCCACAGACATCCACTGCCCTGGTTTTTAACATGCCCATGCATTTAAAAAACATTTTTAACACATATTCTGTATTAAATATGAATATGCATATTGTTTTGCATGTTTTTAAACATTATATAAATAGCATCATATTATACAAATCATTTTGCAACTTGCTTTTTAAACAACATTGCATTCATTTTCACTGCCATAGAGAATTCCATTGTATGAATATACCACAATTTATTTATCCATTCCCCTACTGATGGACATTTAGGTTGTTTCCATTTTACTCTTACAAACAATACTATAATGAAGGCTTGTACATATCTTCTTGGCTACACATTTGAGAGTTTGGAGGGGATGAGCCTAGAAGTGGGCTGCAGAGTATGAACATCTTCACCTTGTCAAATTGCTCTCCAAAGTGATTGTACCAGTTTACACTTTCTCCAGCCAAGTGTGAAAGTTTCCTTTGTTTCACATCCTCTCAAATACCTTACAAGTTTTTAAAATTTTTGCCAATCTGGTGGGTATGAAAGAGACACCCTGTAGTTTTTAATCTGTATGTCCTGTAAGGAAAATCATTTCCTCATCAATGTTTATTGACTATTTGAACCTTTTTTTTTCCTTCCAACTTTCACATCTCCCTTTTATTCTATCACCTTTCCATAGTGATTAATAGAGACTCTAAATTCAGGCTGCCTGGATTCAAATTCTGGCTCGATCATATACACACAGTGTCCTTGGACACTTTCCTTGGCCTCCCTCTGCCTCAGTTCAATCATCTGTAAAGACGCAGCAGCACCTACCTCGACAGTTGTGAGGGTTTTACAAGTTAATACATATGAAGTGCTCAGAACAGTGCCAGCCATGTTGTAAGATACAGTATTATTATTTTTATCCTTTTAGGCATTAATCTTGTCAAGGTTAGCTTTTTAATTCAATCTGTTTCTTTTAATGTTTCAATTTATATTTTCTAATCTTTTAGGATTAAATTATTTCAGATGTTTTTAGCATTCGTGACTTTAATTCTTTCATTCCTTTGTCTTTTCTAGTATTAATCTGTTCTTCTTAAACATCTCAATCCTTGCTTTTACAACAGCAGATAGGAAGCCTGGCCTTGTGTAACAGCTGAGGAGTACATCCTTGCCCGAAATGGGGGCGGTTGGATGCTCTACCCCTAGCTGTCCCCACAGCTGCTCACCCAGATTCCCACAGCAGATCTAGTAGCATCACTCTGATGTGAGAGCTTCAAAACATCTCAACCTTGGTAACTCAGCTAAAAGCCCAAGTCAGGACATGGGTCCACCTGTGTCAAAGGCTCATGTGAATGACTGGCAATATGTTCTTTTCTTATATCACATCATCTAGTACCTTGATCAGGAGTTATATATACTATGGATCTGAAAACATTATCCCTACATTAGTGAGCAAATCATATAAACAATGTGTGAGAAGGTAGGAAACACCAGCAAAACCAGTGTGTCATAATGCTTTGTACATTAAATAGGCATCAATACATATTGATGATTGCCTAATAAGGAACGAAGAGCCCCCAATGCTGCTGACCTGCCTGTAGTGAAAACATAGACAGTGTTGAACCACAAGGTAGACAGGCAGGAAAGAGGTAGAAGGATGGATCCACACTCTGCTCTTGGCCTTTAACTCACCAAGCTACCTGGCTTCTATATTTCTACTTTGATTCACCTCCTGTTGCGGCAGGGTTTTAGGAGAATCCTCCTTTTATACCTAGCATTCAACACTCATGAAAGAAAAGAGAAACTCCCTATTTGCCTCTCAGCTCTCAGAGCTGGAGAGTGGATGACCTTTTTGCTGGGCAAGGTTTCAGATAGGTACCTCAATTTTCACAAGAGGCTTGCCAAGCTGCCAACCTATTCATCTGATTTTGAAAGCATACAAATTCACCTTTCAAACAGCATAGAATATCTGCAATTCTGGAACTAGCCAGAGGCAATAACCTAAAGACATTTGCAGCTCATTTCTTGTCAGAACCAGTTGAGGATAGTGGTATTGATGGAAGACTGTGTCAAGCCCATCCATTCCTCTAGTCTAGATAGCCTCGGTTTATCCACGGCTTAAACCATCTAAAAGCTGCATAACGTTAATACAGCGGTATTCTCCAAGGTGGTTGGATTACTGGTGATTTTTATTTTCTTCTTTTTAAACTCTTGTATTTTCCAAATTTTCTACCATGAGAATGTTTTCTGTTTATAATAAAAGAAAAACACAATAAATGTTATTTTTAAAAGCTACATACTCGGAATATACTACCTTCCCCACTCCCACCTTCCCGCATCCCAACATGAGTGCTTTCCTTGAAAAACAACTGATACCAGATTCTCAGCTTTTCGTGAGAAAACTTCATAAAAAAAAACTTCTATGTGAAACCCAAAACTGCACTTTCGGGGAGTTTTTTGCTATGATCAACAATGTCGCTGAGATTATTCTTTACTCTTATCACTCAATTAGTATTACTTGTAAGCCATATAAGAAATTTCTTTTGGAACTAAACACTACAAAAAGTTTCACCCAAGCAATTAGTGTCCTATTTCTCTATGGACATTGAGAATTATGTAACTTAACAAGTTTTCCCTTTTCATTTTGGGTCACAGAAGGTCAGACGCAAATATAAATTATAACTAATACCTATGCAGGACCTTATACCTACACAGCTTTGTTCTGAAGATCCCAGGCTCTAACTTGGTGTTCTAGTTTGTTTGGTTTTGAATTTTTTTCTACTATATGGATCTATTCCTGAATCCAGCCTAAACCGTTTTCACACTAAGGCAGGACAAAATTAGATACAATAGTCTACACTGCTTGGTATTGATGCTAACAATTTGTCCTAAAATTTTAAAACTGATAAACAATGAAGTCATGCTGCAGTGTCTTTCCCAATCTTTCTCAACTAATAATTAAAAGATCAATTCAAATTCAACATAAGGAACTAAGAATTAATTATAATTCCACTCACAGTTATATCATTAAATTTCTTTGCTTCTTTCACTTATAAAGAACATTTACTTAATTTTTTTTGAATTAAGAAAACAGAGGAAAAAATACACCAAAAATGCTTCTTTTAGACAATACAGATTAGTTAATAGAGCAAACGGAGACAATATATTATAGGTATTATAAACACAGACTTTAACATCATCAGATAAGATCTGTGTTCAAATTATGGCATCATTACTAATTAGTGTTATGAGTCGGTCCACTGTAAAATGTGGAGAATAACATTACCTACCTAATAAGGATGCTGTGAGAATTAATAAAAAATATAAAGCACTTTAAATAACGCATGTTCACACTCAATCAGAATAGTTGCTGCTGTCACTGTTGTTACTAGATAAAAGGCCTACAGTGTTATTATATATAAAGACTTTTAACCATTTAAGTATTTCTACCAAAGAGTTATTCAAGGATTTTCTTGCATACCTACAAAACAGAGACGTTTCCCAAAAATGGGTATTTAGCTTAGGAATTTAATGATTTGGGTACTTTAACCAACTTACCTGAACTGTCCAGTACGAAGAAAACAAAGAGCTCGATTACCATAAAGAAGGTGGTTTTCAGGTCTTCAAAAGAAATAATGATTAGTCAGTAAAGCACATTACATTTCAAAATCATACAGAAAAATCACACAGAAAACCATAAGGCATGAAAAAAAATTTAAAAACTTTACATCTCTGTGGCACAGCAGAAAGAATATAGGATTTGGAGTCTTAACTGGCTAAGTCCCAGTTCCTTCACTTCCTAAGTAACTTTGTTCAAACCAATCTAAACTTTCCTGTATTCAAAATGCAGATAATCACACTTGCTCTGTATAGCACATAGGGCTGTTGTTAGGATCAAATGAGACAAAATAAAAAAATAAGCAAACTACAAAGTATGATGTAACTGTACAGGACAGTATTACTTATATAAGTCAGGACGATGCCACCTTGACAAAGATCTCAGACAAAGAAAGCCTGAAAATTACAACAGTAACTTAAATTGCTTCACCTCAAATTTTGTTCTTTTTAGCTTTATGTGACTATGTGTTGAAACTTATTCTCCCTTCCCTCCATCTCTTCCTCAGAAGAATAGAGCAGCAGCCTTCTAGACGTGGCATGCTACCTGGATTCACTCATTCCCTGGAGACAGACATGGTAGGAAGGAGAGTAGTGTCTACAGAACACCCTCCAAAAGCTACTACCATATTAGGTGGCCGAGCTGAGACTGTAAGTAGGAGCAGAGTGTGAAGCATACTTGGAGGAAAGCTACAAAAAATCTAGCAGATGAGCAAACAGAAGACAAGGCAGAGAGAGCACATGCATTCTCTCAACAATTCCAACAATTATCCCTTAAAATTTTACTCTTAGAAAGCAAAAACCCCTGAATGGGTGGCATCTTAAGAATTAAAAACGGACCCACATGCATTCTCTCAACAATTCCAACAATTATCCCTTAAAATTTTACTCTTAGAAAGCAAAACCCCCTGAATGGGTGGCATCTTAAGAATTAAAAACGGACCCTTTTTGATCAGTTAATAATTTAGAAGAAATTGGTTGACAGCAAAATGAGAACAAGACAGAATATATGACTGTACTAGAGAGCCTGAAAGAAAATGGAACAGTGTAGAATCAAATTCATAATCTTGTCTGACTTGCTTGAGTTATACTACTTGATTAGGTTCACATACTGTGGCCACCTCTAATGTTTCTAATGCTTAAAGATGAGAAAATCTATTCTGCACAGAAAATTGGAAGATGTTCTTCGATTATTTCTTTTTATTTCTCAAGTTAGCATTCTAACTTGATCTGCCACATAAAAAGGATCTCATTGTTCTATTTTGCTCTTACCTATATTCAATGGCTCTGGTGTAATAGATAATAGCTATATCAAATCTTTCTTTGGAAAACTCTTCATTTCCTTTCATTTTCATTAGTTCTCCTTGCTGAGAAACCAAGGTGAAAGAAGACCCATCAATTACCTCGAAAGACAATCAGTAACCTAATACTCAGGAAAAAGGAATCTAGATTTCTGTTTCTGATACCAGAAATAACCTAGGGGATTATTTATATAGAAAATGAGAATGCAATACCCGATACTTTGGTGTATGTATTTAAAGAAATCTGTCTCTAATAACTCGACACTAACTTTGTTAAAGGAATATTAAAAAGTAAACAACACCATTATGAATAATTACTAAAAATTTTTTCCCTTGTGTGCAATATGCTGGTACTTCAAAAGTTCACAGAAAGATTCATATTATCTTTCCATCCTATTTTTCCACAAAGTTTTCGAAGTATCTTCGTATTTGGCAGGCCCACTTTTAAATACACCTTATCAATAAAGTATGACAGGCTAAAAATAGATGTGAAGAAAAATTTTAACTTTAGTTTAGCAAACTTAATATTATTCAATAAACTTTAGTGCTTAATTAAACATATAAGTCAGTAACAGACAGGCAATACTGATAAGACTAATTGCAAAAAAGTAAGGCAACAGGTTAGCAAGAATATATATGAAAGATGCTACAGATATAACTGACACTTTTCACTTCATTCAAATTTTTTACAATAAACAAATTAACTAAAATAAACTGGATCATATCAATGGATTTAGAGAATTTTATAGAACATTAAATATCTTCCTAAATTCTTTTTTAAAAATTGAGTTAAAATCATATTTTCTATGAGTGAACTGTATGCCGTGTGTTACAACTCAATAAAGCTGTTAACTAAAGAAAATCATTTTTCCTCAACTAATTAAAAGCCCTTAGTTGAAAAAAAAATCAAGTTAGAATTTTTAGTTAGCTGTTTTAAAATAATTAGAAAATTCTGATCAAAATATTATTTCTTCTTCAAAAAAGATTAAAATCAAAAGTGATTAAAATTTTCCTTCAACCATGGTTTTCAAGTTTATAATAGTTATATGTTGTATGACAGCAATTCAATTAATTTCGTCTGAGTGTTAAAAGTTCTAACGTGCAAATCTTAAAATATATTTAGAAGTAAATATTTATCCTCACCTCTATACACTCCGCACAATTTGGGGTTTTAAATTCTTCAAGGAAATTGCAGTTTTCTGTAACAACTTTAGTTATGTGATATTTGTCTAAATTTTTTTTAGGAGAGAGTGAGAGAGAACATTTGTTAAGTAAATATTTATCCTCACCTCTATACACTCCGCACAATTTGGGGTTTTAAATTCTTCAAGCAAATTGCAGTTTTCTGTAACAACTTTAGTTATGTGATATTTGTCTAAATTTTTTTTAGGAGAGAGTGAGAGAGAACATTTGTTAAAAAAAAAAAAAGATTGGTTTGGTAATATCCTAATTCTTACGTTAGGTAGATGAGTCCAAAAAGTTCATTATATTATTTTACTTTCTAAATTGCATGTTTCTTGTCATCTGTTAGGTGTATTAAGTAATATATTTTTTAAAGTAACTGATAAAATGCTACAGAAAACATTAGATTTATATCTTGCTGTGAATCTAATCTCAGTTTTTATTTCTAGCAATAAAAAACACTTGTTTATTTATTACATTAGTTGTAATTGTAGTTACAAATGCTCTGGCATAACATATTCCAAATAGGCCTCATAATTACTCAAGTTCATTCAACAAACATTATCAAGCACCTGTGGTGTACCAGGCTCAATGTTCAATAAAAATGTATGAAAACAAAAACCTGCAAAACTACTTTCTAAAATGTATCTAATATAACAAATAAAAAATTTAAAAGGTTGCTAGTTAATATTTTGACTCTCATGAATGAAATGTTACAATGAGAAGTTATTTGAAAAACTGTTCTTATAAAAATTTAACAAACTAATTAAAATGCAGTAGACAATCAAACTTTATGTCAAAAGTTTCTCAGGCCTTATTCTGCATTTTCAGCTGTTATATAAAAAGGATTTCTTAAAATCTGGTAAAAAAAAAAAATTATTGCAACAAAACTATAGTTAAGTCTCTAGCCAAACACATCTATTTCCAAGGTGAAAGGAGCACCTAAAATTTAAAATTCAAGAAAGAATCTGGGAATGTCACCAAATAAAGTAATCTATTAAGGGACAGAGAAGATTATAAGGGGAAAACCTGGGCTTTGAGAACAAAGAGACTTGATTTCTAATCTAGATTCTACTACTTACTATACTACAGAAATATCACTTAAATTTGAATTTTAGTCTGCTTACTTCTAAAATAGAGACAATAACAGACACCTTGTAGGGTTATTATAAAGAAGAAAGAATATAAAGAGAATCAGAAATGAGCCCACATGGGTGACCAATATATGATCTTGCTTCTCTGTTTCAACCACAGAATCTAGCCTCTAACTGAAGGCCTCCAAAACAATGAAGAGAATAACCTCTATCAGTGTAATAAATCCCAGTGTCTAATAAACCTATCAGAAAGATTTGTCTTCATTTAAGCTTAATTCCTCTCTAGTATTTAAGTGAACAGTAAAAAAGTCTGCCCTCTTCTCAGTGGAGATGACAAATTATTGGTCATTATCTACTAAAGAGCCAAACATTTTCTGTTTCAAGATTCCTATAACTATCCTATAAAAACACTGCTAACATTCAAATGCTTTAAACATTTTGCAAAGTAAAAGAAATATGTAAGGCAGTTTCCTCATACAAAAAAAAATAGCAGATTCATCAGGAAAATGAAGATCATTATCTTAGCTTCTGTTACTTTCTATTATGAATGAAAATGCATGAGTCCCAGTTGTAGTCTCTTTCTTTGAGTATTATATACAATAACATGACATCTATTAGGTAGGATTTTAAAAAGTACAATGTTATAAAAATCATGACAGGAAATACAGAATAAAATTAACTACAAGGTTAAAGTTCTCTTATTTTGGGAGTATATAACAAAAGAAAAACATTTTTAAAAATCCTAAGATTAATCACAAATCACATAGCTATACATTCCATTTTCCCAAATAACACCTTTACAAACTGAGTCAAGTAACAATATAAAACACTTATACTTACATTCAGTAAAGAAAATACTTAACATAGGCCAACAATTGTCAACTGATCCTAATTTAGGTAGAATTGTTATATCGCCTGTGTATTTTACCCAATTTAAAGCTTCTTCCATTGCCAAGATTTTCTGTTTAAAAAAGAGAAAAGAATGGGATTTGGGTACTAATTCTAAGTTTGCATATGACATTATAAATTGATCTTATACAGTATTTCAGATCCTTACTACAAAACTTGTACAACCCTACATTTTCATTACTTCAGCATGCAACCTAGAATAGCTGGACTCTGACATACAAGTTAACAGATACCGTGGACTCACATATGTTACATCTTCAGGTGACCTCAGGACACCCTCAGAGCTCAGGGTGCTTCTGTAATGATTATAGACATGGACGTTGAGGTCTACAACCTGGCCAGAGGCTGCTCTAAAGAGTGCAATAATACAAGTTGGACAAGTGTCCTCAGATCTCAGCTAAGCTAGAACTTCCATCCTTACTCCAAGATTAAAGGTATAAATTAAGGTTCACCAAAGGGACTACATATTTTACGTGGTCTGTAGCAAACATATTTATAAGGAGATAAACAAAAGGTGGGTGTGGCTGAATGAATGGGCACTTAGTGTAATGATCTTCACGAAGGATCAAGAGCTCACAAAAATGTTACTTGAACTTCTAGTGTCTGAAATAACTTCAGAAATTAAATAGTTGTCAATGTTGGTATCAGGGGTAAGGGGAACATTTACATGTTTATGTCACCAGTAACATTAAAAATTGGTTTATCATTGAACCTGGAGATTACCTAGTAATTGTGTATCAAAAAATATTCATACCAGAGACCTAATAATTTCATTTGAGGGAACATATGCCAGGTAAACACTCTAAAAGAGAAAAAAGAATCAACTTGCAAAAGAGACTAAAAATTACACTCCATTATATGGGTAAAAAAATGAAAATGACACAAACCCCTAAAATGAGGAGACAGCTTAAGAAAAACACAGAAATCAATACTACCAAACAGTACATGTAAAGCACTGAGTATGTGGACTCAATGAGGAAATGAGCAGTGAAATGACTACTATTTATTCACAGTGGATGTGGTGGGTTCCCATGTTTAACACTTACATTTTCTATTTTATAACCAATTCTCAATAAGCCTCCAATAAGGAATGAATCATTCTGGAAGAAAAAAAAATTTTTTTTGTTCCTTATTCAGCCAACTATATTTGTATTTTCTAACAGGAAAAAATCCTACATTTTAGAAATGCTACTATACGTATATAGTAGTACACTTCCCACAAGCACTTACATGACCAATTTACCTCTTAAGGACCCTAAAACAAGAATTCAGAAATTGTCTTCCACAGAGTTCTAGTGATAGAATGATTAAATGTAATTAGATTTATAGATTTTTTTTTATAAAGGTACATTGGTTGGTATATTACTGCAAAGGATTATCAGCAGGAAACAAATACCAGAATGCCCTCACTAAATTTGACTTTGAGGGCTGGCTGGTTAGCTCAGTTGGTTAAAGCACCGTGTTATAACACCAAAGTCAAGGGTTTGAATCCCTATTAACAGCCAGCAGGAAAAAAAAAAGAAATTGAGGAGGTAAAGAATTTGAGTTAGAAAATAAATTCTGAATGTGTTTTAAACAAATAAATAAATTTGAATTTGCAATCAGAATAGTACCAAGAACAACACTGGCCCCCTAATCAACTGAAGTAAGAAAAATTATCAAACAGCTTTCAAAAAAAACACAAAAAACCCTTAAAATAGTACAAAGACACCTCCTCAAATCTGCCCTGATAAAGTTTACCCCAAAGACAAAATATTTATTGATGGTACTTTCATGTACAAAGATAGAGGCTATCACTTTCAGATACTGTAACAAAGGTTTCTATGAAGCAAGGCCCACTTTCATCTATAACAAACTCCAATTTTGATCCTTTATTGACAAGAAGCAGTCGTAGTTCCCCATCGTGGCAGGTCAGAACCACAATAGCAGCCATCTCCCTGACCTCCCACCTACTGAGTACACAGTAATGAACAGCAGAATCTTCTCAGTGTAATCAAAACTAAAACCATTACCTGTTAATGGCTATAAATAAGTAATATAGGCCTGATACCATATAAAAACTTATATTCTTTAAATAGGGGTGGAAACCTACATTCTACAACTTACCGCAACTTTCTTTGCCAAATCCACAATATCTTCCATCAACTCAAGATACTGTAATTTCTTCAAACTTATCTCAGAAGCACGAGAATTGCTTAAAGACAAATTAATTTTTTTAAATATTGGGTTCTCATATACACAAATTCATTGAACTTACTGCTTAACTATATATCTCAAACTATTGAAAAAAATTAAGTTCTTTTTTTCTTCACTCTAGGTTGCAATAAGTAAGCTGTTTATTAATTGAACAAAATGCAAATACTATATCTTTTTCTCTCTTCTGTACTACAATACTGATATTTATAAATAAGTATATTAATTTTTCTTGACTCAGCTTCAAGTCTACTATCTAACACTACTCAGAATATAATTCATTATAATGTTATGAGTATTCATTCACATCCAAATCCCAAGTACTTACTTTTTCTACCCTATTAAACAAAAATAAAGTTGAACAGCATACAGAAGGAGACATAAGGCTTCCACTGTACTTGGCATTCTTCAGTATGGGGCTACATGCTTATCACTATTCATACATAATGAATAACACAGAATAACTTACATGGCCTCCACACAGGGATGCAATCTTGATATTACAGAACTGTTCTGATGTTGAAACAGAAGTGGCCAGAAGATGCTTATTTTAATGGCATCACAGTAATCTTGCAGGACAGAAATTGGTTTACTACACCATATATCACAGATGTCAAATTCTTAATTTAAAAAAAAATTTAAAATTAAAATTTGCATCTCATTTTGGAATGAATCAACATTGCTAATAGAGAAAAGATAAAAATGGATATAGAAAGACAGGAAACGAATGGATGAAATATTTTAACCTGTTAGATGTTAAGAATATTTAAGTATTTGCTTACAGTCTATTTTTTTCTTTTTTTGTCATTTTTGTGACCGGTGAGGGGATTGCAACCCATGGCTTG